CAAATAAGTAATATTCATTAATTATTTTTAAAACTTAAAGTTCATAATAATTAAACATATTTTTTCTTAAATCATAAAATATATATTTTTTACCGCCGATTTCGTTGTTTAAAAATACTAACACTTGTTGTTGACTTATCGTTAACTGATCACAATCTGATAAGTCAGGTGATTTGTCATTTAACCTGCAGCTGTATTCAGTATGCAACTGTTATGATTATTTAATTAAATTAACAAATGTTACAATAGTTTTACTTTCTTTCAATTACTTGTTTGAATAATAATGTAATTTTCTATTTTTAAATTTTCATTTCACAACGCAACAATTGTTAAAATAATAGTCGTTGGACTATAAAATAGTAAAGAAATTATTTGTTTTTCCTGATTTGTTTATTTCTTACGTAGGTACTGATCACGACATTTACCACATCGCCTTTTGACGCCAGTTTTCATAAATCAATAAGAATATCGTTAAATTTCTGGCTTATATAGATCATTTGCKTTTAACAGAATTGATATTGTGTTATTACTTGTTAGTTTTATTATTTGAGTGAATTCGCCTAATATTAAACTTAAAGGTAAGAATATTATCTAATGCACTACGTAGCCTTTTATTTATATTTTCATTTTAAATCGAGCTATGAGAATTTTTAAATTGTCATCTTTTACATAATTATAATTTAAGCTTTTAACTCACTTTACGATTAAAATATGAGCCTATGAGATAAACTTTCTTACTTTTAAGTTTGATAATAGGCCAATTCACTATGATTTAAAAGCATAAGAAATACTWTACAAAACAAAATTGGTTCAGTTGAACGCAAAAATATTGTGTCGTACATTTGTAAGATGGAGAAAACTCACATGGGTAGAATCCTCGCGTAATAGCTTTGCAATATTAACAATAACAACACACATTAATATTTGACAAAAACATTAGGTAATAAAAAAAAATATAGTCAAATTTCAATGGAAACTAACATTATTCCTTTWAAATTTGCTATCGAATAATAATATGTARTAATATTTTCTAAAATCCTAAATATTTTAAGTGAGACGTGAATATCTATATATATTTAAATAATTTGGTATAAAGTAATTTTTATTAGGTATTWTGATAAAATTCAAATAATTTTAAATGCTTCAGTAATTCAGTTTATCTTWCAAATAAGAAACTTAAACGTTACCTAATTTGTTTCATTGTAAAAGGTTAATTTTGAAAGCATTCAAAATGTTTTGTCCCCGAACTTTGACTGCTAATTTTTAACCTGTGGATTGATATGAATGTATTTATATACCATTTGTATATTATTGATAATWTATTTTGTTATAAATAACTATATTACATAATATTATCAGATAATTTTTTATCGTGTATCTGAATAATGAATACTAATATATTAAACGTGTAGGCTTTTAGTATTGCAGTGTAATAACTATTAAAATAAATCATTTTTAATTTTGAAATGCATCAAATTAGTTAATTTTTATTTAGTTTCTCGTTAATTTCAACATTATTTAATAGGTATTCTCCAAACGCGTTAAATAATGTATTAGTGTAAGGTATTATATTTTATGTTTGTTTT